CGTCTAGCTCATCTATTTGCCCATTCGTCTCCTCCGAACGTGACGTTCGGAGCTCGACCTTCCCCTACTCGGCGGCTTTTAGCTCGGCGAACGAGGAGAACATCTGCTGCAACAACCGCCGACGGTTCGCAGCCGACCCTCCGGGCCCGAAATAGAGATTGTTATGATAGAGAGCATCTGCAACGCGCGCGCGCGCGCGCGCGCGCATGGATACAGTGACGGGGGAGATGCGGACGCTCCCTTGGCCGAAGTGTGGCCCGGGAGGAAGAGAAGAAAAAGAAGAGGAGGAGTATCCACGTTCGTTTACGCGGGATTGCGCTTCGAGGAGAGCTGTGTATTTTTGTCGCGCCACGCACCGTCCGCGTCTCTCTCAATTCTCTCTCGCCACGCGCCCGCAGCGCGGAACGCGGTCGTCATCCATCACGATTATACGCTTCGTCCGAAAACGCGTGGAAATTGGTACAAGGTCTCCTTTGCTCCTTTGCTTTCTCCCTTTCCTTTTTTTTCCCCCTTCTACGATATTGGATCTTGGGTAGAGGCCGAGAGGAATTCACCGCGATCCATCTGTCTCTGTCTCAATTATCTTCTCGGCGCATCATTTGCGAATTACGCAGGCATCAACCGAGCGGATTACAGTGGGATTTACTCGGGATTTATGTAACAAAGATTTTTCGCACATTCTATGAGTGCGTCTCGAGAAAGAAGAAGAAGAAGAAGAAAAAACTGAAAATGTAGTCTACGTGCAATATTTTATTTTTTTTTTTTTTGGTTAGATATTTATATACAGGATAGACACTGAAATAGGTGGCACCTCACTTTGATAGCGTATTCTGATGAGTCCATTATATAAAGAAAAAATATGTAATTGTTTCTCAAAAAGGATACGACGTCACATATCGCAAATCTCCATTTTTTTTAACAGCAACTATGTTTTTTTTACACTAATGATGAACTATGTGTTTTTTTTTACACTAATGATTTACCTCATTATACATGCATTATGCATGAAGGTATTAAGATATAGTTGTCAAAAAATGAAGTTTACAAAATATTTTATTTTATATCGAATTGTACGTCAAATTCAAGTCTCATAACTTAGAAACTACTTAATAAAAAAATACTTTGTTAGTATTTTATAGTATTTTGAAAAGAGATCAGTTACAAGATTTTCTATGTAATCAAAATGGGAGTATTCCATTTAAGAAAAATGAAGTTGATCTTTATATGACTTTGACATCCAAGATTAAACTGGTATCACCTTATATTCCCCCTTGAAGTCATAAAAATTTTGTAAGAAACATTTTTTTTTTTTTCTCTAAAAAGTAGTAGTAAGTAGAGTAGCAAATAATAATAAGAATCGAAAAATGTTTAATGTTCCTCCGAGCCTCCGAGTTTGCTTCTCATTTCTTTACAACATTCTTTGGGGGATTCGTGCTACATGAGATATTTACACAATCAACAGTCGAGTCTAATGTAAGATTTTATTGAAGCAGTCAACGTCGTGATAATATCACAAGGAATAAGCGCGAGCTAACGATAACAAGAGTCATTTGTCGACCGTATCCTCCCGCGTTCGACCGAACGGAGGCGGCGGCCTCCGAAGAAACAAACACACATATATGTATTGCCTCAACGATGATCACGTTACCACGTGTTAATACATTACGTGCGTGGTGCGTGGGGATAATATCACGTGTCACGTCGGCCACCCGTTATCCGCTCTCTCTCTCTCTCTCTCTCTCCCGACATCGGTATGCGCGACATTAATTCATGCCCAGGCCAATGCATACACGCACGGTGTGCATCTCATTCTTACATCGACGTTCTCCGGCCAGTGGCGATGACTCCGTCGACGAAAACAATACTCGTGAGAGTAGAGGGAAGGCGCAACGATAGGAAAGTGGTGGGGTGTAGGAGTCCAGGGTCTTTCCCCGCGAGGTCCAGGGACTTCGCAATGCGAGGACTGCAGATTCCAGGATTATGCGTCATTTTAGGTTCGATCGTTGAACTTAGCACTCCTGCAGAGGGCACCCCTAACCCTCTAGGGTTTGCTGCGGCTATTTTGAATAACATCAGAAGCGAGGAAATTTTTGCAGAATAAATAATAAAAAAATAAAATTCTTCGATAAAATAATGTTTTCACTCACGATAGAACCAAACTTGTAAAATATACACCGAAAAAATCTTTCTTTCGCTTAATTAATAAGTATAGCTAGAATTAAAATTGCGACTCTCTTCTTGATTGGGCACAGCTTGTTTTTTGCGAGTGTGTGCGAATTGGATGCGTAATTTTATTGAATATCGGAGCAAAAGAAGGAGAGTTTTCTATATATATTTTACAAGTCTATTTTATCGAATGCAAATGTTATTTTATCGAAAAAACATTTTAATGTATTTTGCGAGAATTTCTTCATCACGTGTTTTTTTCGCTTTTGATATCATAATTCAAGATGCTGCACTGAATCAGCAGAAATCTTAAATACGACGAGAATAAAAGAAATAAAATTATATCTTTCCAATGTTTTCATACATCTAATAAAACTTTTTTATGAATCTTTTTTTTTTAAAAAAAGAAAAATAGCGTACAATAAAATCGAAATAAAGGCTATTTGCTAAATTGCAAAAAAGATTGATATTTCTAAAAATGTTGAAATTTTCGTCTCTATATGTAGTTTCAAGATCAAGTTCGTCAGATCGCTTTTTTGAATCCCTACATAAACGTATATACTTGAAATAATTAAATAATTAATAACCTGATATGAATCCAACCCCAAGGAATTTGAATTCCTTCCTCCTTCTTTAAAATTCCTTCTTCTTTAAAATTTTCTTTCATCTTTCCTTTTTTTCAGCTTTTCTTTCTCGTTTTCTTTTTCCTTTGCCGTTTTCTTTCTCTTTATCACGTGAACGCCCGCTGTTATTTCGCTCAAGGTTCCGTGATTTATTATTACGTCTCTGGGAGGTAATGTCCTCCGCAATTCACGAGTCGGCTTCGACATTAACGAGCGCAGATTTCAATGAATTCAATCTAATTCTTGAGAGTGGGAGAAGGAAAGACGGAGGGAGAAACGTTGGTAACTGATTTCGTTCTATTTTAATACGTGTTACGCTTTTTGTAGCCTTCCGCTTGAGTCAGAGTAATGACGTATCGCGATAGGAATAAACCCTTTGTACTCTGGAACGTGCTAAAAGTCCCTGAATCCGCGAATTGAGGAATCTTATTAACGATACGTAATATTTCGCTAATGCTTTCTGCGAACTTTTAAAAACGCATACAAGAAATTGAATTTAAAATTTTTAAAACATTTTTACATTTTGACATTACTTTTAAATACATTGAAGTATAAAGAATAAATCGCAAGAGATAAAGTGGAAAAGAAGGATGTAAAAAAAAACGCCGTTGTGTTCGACAAACGGGACGGATATCCGCGAATGGAGGGAAGTTCATTACGTTCATTTCGTTTACGTGCCGTGTCGGTCGATGACGTATCGCTACGTTTACCGAGATATTTAAGCGTGCCGCGCTCGTCGTAGGTAGAAAGCGTGGAGCGCATTCCGGGAAATCGCACCGGCACTCGGCCGGTTCTCGCATCTCTCAGGATTCACGGCCGTTATGCCATCAGATGAAAAACAGCCTTAACGTGTTTCTTTCGCCGTGGTATTGTTCCGAAAACTCGCCGATGACATCATAACGGTTGGTGTCATTAGAATTCGGGGAAGGACGGCCTAAATGATATCACATTATAATAATAATT